CCCTCCCCCCAACCCCCTTCCCTCCAGGACGGCGAGGTTCATCGCATGTACGTGCGTCGAGTGAGCTAGGATGCTGTGAGAGCAGTGGATCATGCCCAGCTGAATTCCTCTCTCTTCTTTCTCCAGCTTTGCAGTAGCTGGCATTCTCGTAAATTCACTCCCACTGGCGTCTCAGTCGAGGCGGGGATCACTCTTACGCTCTCGGGATGTACGCAGAAACGCCACGTAGCTGGTCCGCCCCTTCTACGTCTGTACTTAGAGATCGTCTAGAAAGTATACACCCGTGTTTCTCAGATTCATTCGGCATCGCACTGTGGCTCGGCGCCTGCGAGACTCAGGGTAGGCCACCCCGCAAAACAGTCGTGCACTGCAGACAGAATGTTGCCTACCTGCCAGGCGCTTTGAGAGCTCGCAAGGGCTGAACTTGGCAGGTTTGCAACGGCGAATGACGGGCGCACTTTCTGAGTGATCCCTTATGCTATGCTGCCCTGTGCGCAAGGGCCGTGCGCGCATGTTTGCCTACCGCCACGGCTCAAAACGTGTGGCCAACCCGACCGCTGTTCGAGCGCATGCGATGCGGTACAGCCTAACTACGATTGTGGTCGGGGTGAATCAGCCACCAGGTACAAGGTAAAGTACGGACTGAGCTTTGGACGAGCACTGTACGGGCACAAAGGTGATTTGTGATTCAGCCTGCTTCTGCAAACGTTCCACCTTCCCTCCTCTTTCCGCCAAGTCGCAGCACTCTTTCGCCTTTTGCCCTCCCTCCTCATCCTTTTTGCAACATTGCGCCCAATCACCTCTGCGGACGGCAAAATAGCCTGACCGTCTCGAGTGGCGAGAAGCGCCGCGCGGTGAGTCGGCCACGCTAATTGACTTTGTGCCGTCGGGTTGGAGGGGAGGCGGAGCGGCCGACCGGCCGGCTCTCGAAATAGATACGGCAGAATAGGGCATAACGTGGCGGGCGGGCCACAAGTGGAGCGCACTCTGGACGCTTCACACGGCTCCGCCACGACGTCCTGGCCCTGCTCAGTCACACGGGCATTCTTATCCTGTTAGCCCGTCCACGCCGCGCAGGGGGGAGAGAGAGGGGACCGGAGGGGGCTGGCCATAATTCCAACGTAACGCTGTGGACGGAGGCGAACAGCGGCGGGTGTCACGGGTCACGTGTGCAGTGCGCGCGCGTCCACCTGCCGCAGGCCCCTGTCGCCCGGCCGGGTGTTGACTTTGGACCACGCTTCGAGTGGTGCATCGGGCATGTGTGCAGTGTCTCGCCCACTAGTCGGACGAGTCGGACGGACGTCCCCCACCCCCAACTCCTCTCGCCGTCGATGAGGGGCCCGCGGGCCGCCGCTGTCCCCACCACTGGACCCGCCCCGGGGGGCCGGAGCAGCCGGTGACAGTCCGGCAGTCCCTCACGATTTACGGCCAACCCCTGACGTCAAGTCACGCCAGTGCCCCCGCCGCTCCGCGCCACGCCACCCCCAGCCCAGCCAGACTACTTGATCAGGGCTAATTGGTTAAGCGGGTGGAAGGGGGCGGAGGGAGGGAGGGACAGCCGATGCGCGACAGCGCGACCAGGAATCAGAGATCTGAGGATGGGGCTCGGCGACCTGCGGCCTGCGGGGCGCGGCGGCGGAGAGCGACCGAGCCGAGCAGGGTGGAGCAGCGCGGGGCAGGGCGGCTGAGAAATTGCAGAGGGCAAATCTTCCACGCCTAGGGGCGGCAGACACACTTTATTGAAGCCGATTGAAGCCATTCACATCACCAGCAGAGGACACGGTCAGAGGCAATACCTCACGTCACCGAGGACGCCGTCGAGCAGAAACTGTCTCGGCCGATCCCTCGCTCGCCTCAGGCGCGCGGTCAGGTCACTTCCCGCGACGGGGAATTCCACTGCGGCCGAAGTGCTTGAGCCGCTCCGAGCGGTGCTGGGTCGCGAACATGGGGCGGAACACGGTGTCCCGGCGGCGTCGCTGGCGTGGGGCTGCTCCTGCTGGGGTCGGGGCGGCGGGGGTGCCGGCGCCGGAGCCGCGGTGGGACCCGCCCCCGTACGCGATGTACAGGTGGTTGTCTGGCGCCGGGGGCAGCACGGGCGCGCCGGGGAGGGCGGGCGGCAGGAGGACCACGACGGTGCGGGGGCTGCGCACCTCCGGGGGGCCACCGCTGGCGTCAACGGGGAGAGGCGTCGTCGGAGTCGGGAAGGACGCGACGGCAGAACAGCCCAGCATCAGCGCCGGGAGCAGCCACGACGGCAACCGCATCTGCGGATCGAACAGAAACAGAAGCAGGAGGCAGGGTGAGACCGCAGCCGCTGCTAGACGCGCACCCGGCTCCCTTCTCTCGACCCTAGCGCCTGGTCTTGTCACAGCATGGAGACATGACTACATGACCACAGTGGCACCCCCACTGAGAAACGACACATCGAAACGACATCGGACAGGCCGACCAATTTCGACGGTATATTGTTTTGGCAGGGCCGTGCTTACCTCGACTTCCCCCGTGCACCCAGCCGAGTGCTCACGGTGCTCACCAAGCGCCCTCGGCGACTGGGCCTATCGCAATGCCCGCGGAGCAGGCAGGTGTGAGGTGCAGTGGCGTTTAGCAGCTCGCTGCGACGAAGTACTGATCCATCTCACACCTAGTGTTTGCTTCTGTCCGTCCGTCCCAAACGAGAGAGGAGAGGGGAGGGAGAGGGATGGTAGAACCAAATTAAAACTGTACTAGTTTCAGTGTAACTTTTAATGGAAAAAAAATAGTTTTAGCAAAAATGGTGATTTTGTAAAACCAGAAAAAATAGAGATTAAGACTTTTTGCCACTTTGCCTTGCTTGTTTGAAGCGGCTAACAGGTCTTTGTGAAGGCTCTTGGGCACTGCGCTGAAGTTGCTTTGTAGTTGATTCCTGTACATCACATAAAACCTGAAAGGAATTTTAAAAAATAACTGATTACAAAATATTAGAGTGGTAAATACAATTTTGTTTTTCAATCTTTGTGGGTCTACGATCATACCGGAGGCAAATGGCTAAGGTCTCGTGCTTGCTGATAATTAACGGTAACATCTTCATCCTCTTCTGAACTAGAAAAAGACTTCAGCCCAAATTCACTACCAAACGACGCAGATGTTTGAATTGGCTTCTCTTGCTTCTTATTTTGAAATTTGTCAGGATATGATGAACTCTTCTTGAGAATTGACTTGGGTGATGGACTCTTTAAATTTGATTTATAAGAATTATATATATCAGCTGGTGTAAGATATAAAGATGATTCATCCTGTAAAAGGCACACATTTGAATTTTTGAGGAAATATGGTTAGAGGTACATGGACTGGCAATTTACTCAATGGTCAAACCTTTTCCATTCTCAATGAAGCTGATTGGCTGAGAGGTTGTTTCGGAGGCTCATTTGAATGTTGGAACCTTACATAAATACGCTCATCAAGTTTCACCTCTTCTAATTTGTCTTTGCACACCACAGGCAATTTTTGAGACTCATCAGCAAAAGATATTCTCCTGCTTTTCTTTCCAGTTTCAAATTTGACGGAAGAATTTTCCCCCCATGCCTCTAGGGGTGATAGTGAGCTGCTGGGTATATCAAGAGATTTTGAACTTTTAGAACAGTGAATGTCAGTATTAGTTTCTTTTCGATTGTGTAGCAAAGTGTTGACGGAGTGTACGTTATCTGATTCCACCTCCACAACTGTGCTACTTTGCTTTGAAAAAATTGGAATTTTCACTGAATCCCCATTGTCACTATCCCCAGTTTCTTCATCCTCTGAACTTTCACCATCATCATCTTCATTATTATTTTCATAGTCAGCTTCATATTCAGCATGTAACCTGAGGAGTAATGTGTTAGATAGATACTAAGTTTGTAACAAATTTAAGAAAGTTAAAAATAAATAAATTAGGAACAACAACTGACAAGATTTTACTACCTTTCAAGTTCATCATTTAGTTCCTCTTCCAATTCTAACTCATCAAGCCTTCTAAATATATCTTCCTCTGTCTTAATTTGTGGATTTTCTCTCTGCTTTTCCCTCAAATCTGCTAATTTACGACGGTATTCAGCTTCTTTTTTTCTGTGTTGTTCTGGAATAAAAATAAAAGTCAAGCAAAGAGCAATAATTCAAGTCCACCTAAGGCTAGTGATGGGTGACGCACTTCTCCATTCTGCCTCTGCCTCTTCATTGTATTCTTCAATAATCTCTTTAGTGTCATCAGGAAAAGCTTCTTCCAGTTTAGGAAGTGTTTGACGATTAGACAGAAGAGTTCTTTCGCCTTCAAGCTTTTTGAGCATTTCTTCAGAATCTAAAGGAAAAGAATACAGTTAAGGAAACCATCAGGAACTAATTTGTTTCATTTTAATACTGTGAAACAACATCAACAAACCTGATATCCTTCGATCACATAAAGCGATTCCTTGTTTAGCAGATTGTTTGACAAAATAACTGCCCCCTATACTCGTTAAAATTTCATTTGTGTGTACAAGCTTAGCTTTCACTAATGCCTTAGTGCCAAAGGGAATCACTACCTCATGGGATAATTGGTCAGGTAGAGTTGACAAGGCAGTTTTAACAGCCTCATGATCCTCCTTCCATCTTGTCCAACGCTGAACTGATTCATAGTTTTTCTGGAATGCCTACAACATCATGAAAAGACATCACACTTACCATACATGGATGGCACAGAAAATGGAAAAAAGAATGCAACTAAAATCTATAAATCAGAACATAATACGATATTTCATTTGAAAATCTTTCCGAGAACAACAAGTACTACATTTGTTTTGAATTATAAATTTGAGGTTACATTCTCATGCTAACGGCCACTGACAGTCAGTGAAGAATATTTCGGGGAGAAAATTGCATGACAACATTGTTTAAAATGTTGCATTTACCTCAATATACGAATTCTGCCACAACGTCTCTTTATCTGGCAATCTTTGAGGAAAATGAGTAGAATGAATCCCAATGGAGGACTGTGGAAGCGACATCTTGAATATGACTGCAAATAATATTTAAAGTGAGGCAACGTAATAAAATGTTGAATAATTAACACAATGCTTTTTCACCCTTTAAATTGAAAACCTTCAAATAGTATCATTGTAAATATATTTTAAACAATCAAAGTATGTAGATGATTGAATCAAGAAACAGCTAAATTTCAGATTTTGAAGAAAATTTGTCTGTTGGTGCTGCCTAACTTGTCAGTGGCTTGGTAGCACTTGGTAGCAGTAGACACAGAGGGGAAGAAAAATAGTCTGAAGGTTCGTACTCCGCTCTCATTTTCTTGACTTTTGTGATTGTAATTTCGTTTAATGACGAAGTTTTAGCACTAGTTTTGAGCTTTACCAAAGAGGTATGTGTGGATGAGCAGCTGACACGGTATCCTATGACATTATTAGTTCTTATGATGCAGTTCGAAGAGATAACCTCTATCTCTGTCAGCTGTTCAGAGATTTCTTAAAGATCGCTTTTCTTATTCACAACGCTCGCTGACCCAGACGCCGTAAGTTTCGTCTTCAATTCCATTCTCTTGTGGTCAGGATGGAGTACGAAGGAAAAGACGGACCCCATCATCACACTGGTGGAGTGAAGCCTTTTGGCATAGAAGGCCGATTCGCCCGTGAACGTGAACGTTTGGCTGGAGGCTTCACTGACGCAGACCGAGCTTGGCGTTCCCAATTCCTGAAGGATCAAGTTCTTCACAACGAGCCCGTCATCCCAGAATGGTACTACAAAGAGCGGTACAACCCAATCAGAAGGTTTTATCGTTGGCCTCTTGATACATTATTCGGTACTAAACATGAGACTTATGAAACGGTATGTTGTTGTTAAATTATACTTGTTCTTTATTTTCTTGTGACTTTAAAGATTGTAATGTTTTGCGTGTTTCTACCTTTGAAATTTGCAGAACTTTCGCAAGTTTGCCCCACGTTATTGGACTGGAAAGTTCCTCATGGGTTTGGCTACAGCGTACATTGGATATTACTGCTTCAAATATCATGCTAATGTAAGTTAGTGTATGATCTTCTCTTTTGTCTCTAATTTTTGTGCTCATGGCTAATCAATTTTTATGCTGTAGGACTGGCAATCACATGGAGGATTCGATTCCATTGGACGGAAAACATTCAGACCCATAGGTAGCGAGTTCTACAATACCAAGGAGACCCTGAAGCCCGCAGATTACTATGACAACCGTCGTGGGTTCAACAAATGCCCCATATAACTTTTTGACCCTTTGTATAGAGGCCTCAACAGGGAGAGGCCACACATAGAAGTATATATGTTAATAAAGTTTCATCTTTGATAATTCAACTTTGTCGCTGTTTGGCCTTTACCCAGTTATTGATATTTTATGGAAGTTTGAGTTATTAACGGTTAAGAAAATGTTATGTTGGATTTAGGCTCGTGATGCCATCAAGAGCAACCCATACATTCAGGTGCACACCATTACTGTTGATGAATTTACTAATTGCGGCATGTTGCATTGAGATTGAGAGATCAATAGTTTTATGATTTCCATCTAGTAGGAGAGAACAGGTGCACATAGTTTTCTAGTAAATTTATTTATTGAATCAATTTACTGAACATGATAGAAATATGAAGTTACATTGATACCCGAGAGGTTTCTCATATAGGAAAATAAATAAGAGTAAAATGCAGCACCACATCATTTACAGGTAGATAAATAGTAAAATAAGATAAAAGAAAATATAGGAATACACAACTTGAAAATTAGTGTCTTTGCTCTACAGCATTACCAGGTTCTTGATTTAAGATAAAGTAAACAATTACTAACATTACAACACCAAACAAAGCAAACTTGATAATATGATCTGTTACTGTTCCAGCAGATTCAGCTTTCCTAAATTGAGCGTTGGCTGCAGGGAAAGGTGTGTTTTGGCGATAAGTTGCTGTACGCTGCACAGGTTCTTCAATGACAGCCCGTGAAAGTGGCTTGCGAGCTCTAATGAGATTCACTGTTGAGTCGTTGAGCGGCTCATATGTGGTTGTTGAGATAGATTCAGCAGATTGGATACCATCAGCTGTATCATAAGCAGGAGGCACTGTAAGTAGAAGTAAGGTTTCACAACAGGCAAACAAAAAGCAGTCCATTGACATATAATTTTGAAATCCATGAGCCTTACCAAAGTTTATCTTGCCGGAAACTTTAGGTGATTTGGGTGGTGACTGTTTGGGTGGCGATTTAGGCGCTGATGGCTTGGGAGATGATTTTGGTGGTGAGTCAACACTGAACTCTGACCGAGTGCCAGTCAAAAGCTGGACCAATTTTCTCTCATAAAGATTCCTTGTTGTTCCAGTTATAGGCCCTACATCCATACCAAGACTTGTCAACTTTTCCCGCAGTTCTTGGTCAGTAATACCCTTAACCTGCTCGAGCATATCAACTTCGTTCGAGCTCATTTTTTCAGTAATGCAACGTGTACACCAGGAATATTGATGATGGAGGTAAAATACAAGGAAATATTTCAATTGACAACTGTTGCAACCAAGCGCGCGGACGGCGGGTGTGGTCCTAAATGAATGTATCCGGGCCGGAGATATAAATTCAAATTCGAACATTGATGTCAGGCCAGAAAACACTCTAACAGTAAAAAAAATAATGACAGGTAAAAGTAAACTCTAAATTTCAGACATGTGACTGCGGCTGGAAAGTGTGACTAGGGTTTAATATTATTAAAGGTTATTTCATCCTTTCATTCATTCGATTCATTCAATTTTGAAAATATGTGGAATGTTGGCATCACTTAATGTTCTTCTCTTGAATGCGCGGGTAGTTCAAAAATTCCAAAGAGATTTTGTTTTCCAGAACTTGTCCAGAATCAGTGACAGAATTTTGAAAGGAGTTATCACAAGGAAAGAAATGGGATAAAGTTCAATCGGGTCCAACATTCTTCTGGTTTTCAATATTGTGTCGGGAAGCTGACCCATTCCACCGACGAGGACGGGACGCGTTGTGATGTCGTTGGTTGTTGGTTGAGGTCAGCATTGTTTTGCTGATAGTTGGCAGAGATAATAATTATGGGAGCATTATCGCGGAGCTGCATTATATGTGGACTTTGTTATTCCAATAACATGTCGAGCAATAATATTGTCTGCGAGTGTCATAGTAAAAAACAGGGTGAGTTGGTTCACCTGTGCACAACCAAAATTCGTCTGCTTTTTGTTTACAACTGGCAGTTGTCATGGAAAATAGAAAATTTTGTCAGTCTCATTCTAATTTTGGGCAGAGTATCTGTTGAACCGGTTTGAAGTCCACATCCTATAGGTGTAGGTATTCTGTAAAAAGTGCCTCGGTGTCCCCCTCTCGTTTTAAGTGGCTTGCAGCGAGAGTGTGAGCAAGGGAACAGCTGTTCCTTGAGCTTTATTTGTTTGACATTCCCTTGCACAAATGGAAGGTTATGGTATGGCAAAATTGAAGTCTGTTTGTTCACCTCAGTACAATTATTTCTATTTTAATTTTGAAAAACTTGCTTCAATAAGGGTTTAAAGTACAACTTGCAAATGTTGACATAACTTCACTCAAACCTTTTCTTTACGAAACCCTTTTAGCATGATGATCAATCAAATATTCACTGAATTGATTATAAATCACATGACCAGCTGACTCATTCTCTCTTGCAGACTACTACTCAAATTCATCAACAAACATGTTGAGGACCACATTGAGTCAAATTCCATCAAGGGTATGTTTAAATAAGATATCGTTTCACGAAATGCATTTTTTCTCTGGAAACTATATTACTGAAGAGGTGAATGTATTTTTCGTGCTTTCCAATTAATAGGTGGGACCACAGATAGATTACATGCTTTCATCGTCTGTCTTGGCCAGAAGATGGCCCAGAAGCCTGTCCGTTTCATGGCATTCAACAGCAGCAGAACAGAAGCAAGAAGTGAAATTACCGCCACTCCCTGTACCACCTCTCCAAAGCACTTTGCAGAAACTGTTAAAGTATGTGCAATCTTTGAATCTTAGTAGTCCTTGATGAAAATTTGATTGATTTGAAGGTGACCCTCTGATAAAACCTGAAACCCATCACCCATCCTTTCAGATTTTGCTACTTTTAATGCAGCCCGAGTTTTGCGACATGTACTTTAGAAGTTTAGTAACGCAATGAAAACATTTTCACTAATATGAACATGTTTGAGTGACCATATACAGGTCTACTCTTAAATGATGGGTACTGATGGGACCTCATAGAGGCACCCAAATGCCCACAAAATTTGTGAAAATGAATTTATTGCGCTACTAAACTTCTAATATACATTTAGCAAACTCGTTATGCATCAAAAACAGCGAAATCTGAAATGATGGGTGATGGGTTCCAGGTTTCATTGGAGGACCACAGTCACACTTGATGTAAGCTTGAATAATGATGTTCCTAAACAAAACATCTTGATTTTATCAGGACTGCAAAACCTCACCTGTCTTCAAGTGAACTTTGTGACACAATTAAAGCAATTGAAGACTTTGGGAAAAAAGGTGGTATTGGTGAAGAATTGCAGGCCAGATTGGAAAATAGAGCCAACACCAAAAGAAACTGGGTCTGTATACGCTATCAATTAAATTTTTAAAAATTTGTACTTCGAATGATATTTTTAAAAATCTGTATGCTAATGGACGTAATAAAATTTTCAGCTTGAAGATTGGTGGCTGGCCTGCTCTTATCTGGGATACCGAAGCCCAGTTGTGGTTCATTCAAGCCCTGGTCTTGTATTTCCTCTACAAAAATTTAATGATGTAAATGACCGCTTATTGTATGCTGCTCGTACTATTGTGGGTGCCTTGAACTATAAATTAATGATTGACAAGTTAGTTGAATTTTTGTGTAGTTGAATATGTGTATTATGTTCTCAAATTGCATTTTGTGTGTTCTGTAATCTCTTGTTCACATAGTAGTTTTTCATGTGTTAATCCTATTTAATTTCAGTGGCAAGATTCCTCAGGATAAACAAGGCAACAATCCCTTGGATATGATCCAGTATTCAAGAATATTTGGAGTGAACCGTGCTCCGGATATGCCATTGGATCGTTTGCGTTTTGCTGATCCCAACTGTCCACCCAAACATATCACCGTTGTTCATAACAATCAGGTTTGATCTAAGTAATTGCTTTGATCTTATTGGCTAAACATCATCAACCATCACAGATTAATACTTTTTTCATCTCCTTTTCCTCCTGTTACCCCTCCCCAGTTTTTTAAGGTCCCAGTGTTTAATGAGAGGGGTCAAGTTCTTGATGAAACACAACTTCTGTTCATGTTGAAGAATGTTATTGATAATTCCAAAACGCCTGGCCCACCTGTTGGTATTTTAACAAGTGCTCCGCGAGATGATTGGAGCAAAGCATATAAAGAACTGTCTTGCATAAATAATGGAGGTAATTTTATACATCATAGTGTTTTGTCCTTTCTTATTACGCATCTTAGCAGTGTCTATGATCAACATTATTTATAATCTCTTTTAAAACTAGCATTTATGCTATTCCTTTTATTTTAGTGAATAAGAAGTCAATTGAAGAAATTGAATCATCCTTGTTTGTACTTGCTTTGGATCAAAAGAATCCTGAAATGCCTGTCTCAATGGATAAGAGAACAGTGGCTGCTCTTCAGATGTTGCATGGCTTGGGAAGCTTCTGTAATAGTGGAAACAGGTGGTTTGACAAGACCATCCAGGTAACCCTTGTCTTCTTGTCACTTTTCTTTAAATCTTAAATGTTGTTTGATGTATTAAATTTTGATGTGGGAATAAACAATTCTCCTTTTTTTCAGTTCATCGTGGGAACTCATGGAGAAGTAGGTTTATGCTATGAGCACAGCCCTGCAGAGGGTCAGCCAGTAGCAGTTATGATGGACTTCATTCTTAAGCACATGTAAGTGTAACAAACATATTCCAATATCTAATTTTAACCGAACACAACCAGTTGTATTGGTAAACTTTTCATTGCCTCACAGATCATCGTGCAAAAATGAATTTGTAAAAGAAGTTACCTGCCCGAGACCTGAACCACTGCCCTTTGTTTTAAATAACACCCTGGAATGTGCTATTAAAGATGCTTCAAGGCAGATTGACAGGTATTCATGTTCTACTACACAGAGTGAATGTTTTTTTCAACTCGATTAAGAGCGAATTGTTACACAAATTTTGGGGGGTAGTTTAATTGCAGATGTTGACATGAAAGCTTATTCATTCAAAGGCTATGGTAAGGATTTCCCAAAGCAAAACAAAATGAGCCCTGATAGCTTCATTCAAATGGCTATGCAATTGGCATTTTATAGGTGTGTTGATATTCATTCTAAATGCATATCTCAATTTTGTGTTTATTTTCATTTTTTCATTTATCTTTTTTGTTTTTAATGGAAAGAATTCATGGGGTACCTGCTGCAACTTATGAGACTGCTAGCACTCGCATGTTTTTGGGTGGTAGAACAGAAACAATTCGCTCATGTTCTGAAGAATCCACCCTCTTCTGTAAAACAATGCTTGACAATTGTGCAAGCATAGATGATAAGTTTAAATCTCTGAAGACTGCTGTAAATGCCCACAGAGCATACACTATGGAAGTAAGACTTTTTGCTTCCATTACCCCCATCATATAGCTTTCTTATTTACTTATTAATGAGTTTTCTTCTAAAACTATAACTTTTTACCAGGCATCTAAAGGTCTAGGTGTTGACCGCCATCTTTTTGGTTTGAAGCTGATTGCTCAAGAAGCCAACATGGATTTACCTGCACTCTACTCTGACCCAGGCTACACCCGCAGTGCACGCATGCGGATATCATCCAGTCAAGTAAGTTAATTAAATTGCATTCATAATAGCTATAGTTATATAATAACTATAGTTATATAATAACTATAGTTATATAATAACTATAGTCTATATATAGACTCAAATTTATCATTTTCTTCTCTTTACTCAAGGTGGCTGCTTCTGTTGAGGCAGTTATGTGCTATGGACCCTTAGTTCCTGATGGTTATGCTTGCTGTTACAATCCTTTACCTCAACAAATGATGTTTGCAATTTGTGCTATGAATCAGTGTCCAGAAACTAGTGCAGAAACTTATGCCAATGCACTTGAATCATCCCTACTGGACATGCAAAAAGTTGTGTCATCCTGCAGCAACTTGCAATCAAAACTATAGTTGCATATTTTGCTAAAGCCTTGCTCTGCAAGCTCCTTAAATACCCTGGTATGAAATTTGATTTTGGTGGGGTTTAAAGTATTTGTGTACTTATATTTTAATTTTTATAGTGTGTGTGCCATGAAGTGCTGCCTTGTATTCTGTTATTGCAGTATTCTCTAATAATCTCATTTCATACTGTGGTCAAAGAAATGAGTTTGTTTTAGCCATAAGTCATTCCTAAATTTATTTTCATAGAACTTGGTTTATTTTACTATCTTCACAAAATTTGATGTATTTACTGTAGGTTGTGTACAATCCTCTTGCCCTCATATAGTTTTGTATTTAACTCTATTTTTCTATGTTTCCTTTTATGGTTGTTCTTTTTCTTTACTGTATTTTGAGACTGCATTCAGAATTTCAATAATTTTTCATCTCTAACAATTGAGAGGATTTAGACTGTTACTAATA